CCAACATTTTCATATTTCAGAGATAGATCTCAGCTTTTAAGGTATCAGGATGATTTGAAGGACTACCAAAATGCAGAGCCTACAGACATGTACTTTGTTCAGAACTGCTAAACCTGGCACATAGTTTGGACAAAAATAACCCTGTTTTAAAAAACTGCCAGAATATATGGATCAGAAATCTTTCTGGTTTTAGAAACCTAGCATTTTGTTAAGGTGAAGAACTCTCAATGTTCTATTTTAAGTTTCCAGAAAAGCAAGCTCTAGAATTCTTCATAAATATCATCCTTTTATTCACAAGGGAAGTATTCTCCTTTTATCCTCTTGTAATTCAGAAAGAGGAAGGCGTTTAGAACATTTCCCCGAAAATAGCATTTCCCTGGTTATCTAGATCAGAGGTCTGCCTACAAAAGTGATAATGAAATTGCAGAAATATTTCAGTAGAAGCTCAGCTCCAATAAATTACGTGACTACTTCAAATAGATGTTATGCATTAAACTAAAGTTCTCAATCTTATTTTAGCATAACAGCATATTCCTAGAATATTTTATCTCCTAGTTATATATTAAACTTCCAGTTTAAATCAAGATACAAAGGAAAATTATTGCAGGACATAGTTATTCTAGTACAAAGCAAAATGCAAAAGATAAACTTCCTAGAAAGCAAAATGCTGATAAGAAAGCTAAGAATAGGGGACATTTTGCTAATTTATTTTTAATCTGGGTATGATCTTTTTTTTGCTTTTATGTCCCTTGAGCCCCCTCACATGTAGATTGTTCTATATGCTCTTCCCATTCTGAGGCAAAAGTTTGGCCCTTGGGAAGGGGATGGGTGCTGATTTCTCCAGTTCACGTTGCAAACATGAGCAGATTTCAAGGGAAGGTGTTGCTAGTTCTCCTTCCAAAGAAGAAATTCTAGATATAAGGAGAAAATCCTCATGCACAGGATCAAACCTGAACAATTGCCTTTAAACCCCACTTTGAAAACGGTCTGAAAGGTTAGAGCGGCAGGGCAGTTCAAGCTGTGAAAATCTGTGACCAAAACATGAGTCAGGAGCGAACAGGGCAGATCCTAACAATTTCCAAATGCAAGAATGGAAAATACAAAGTCAAAAAACACTAAATGAAGTGAAAAAGAGAGTGTTTCCCAGTGAGCTTCACAAATCAGCATGCACCAGGGAGGTGATATTCCCATCCAGAGCATATGGAGGTGGCCTTGTTTTGAGAATTGTCATATTTCTTCTGGCAGTGGTCATACCACACAGGGCTCTGAGGTTTAATGCTTCCTATTTGCCATAAAGGCTTCAGCACTACCACCTACTGCCTTCCTTCCTCACAGAACAGCCCTATGAAACCTGATATCCCCTTTCCACCACCTCTTTTACACCACATATATTCATGGTCTGTGCATGCTTCTCAAAATTCATGGAAATATGCAAAAAAGTTGCATATTTCCAAAACTTTGGAAATATGCAACTTAAGGCATACATTGAGAGCTTTTAAAAATAATATAATTAAATCTAAACACCAGAGAAAATTTAAGGTCACAAAGCTTAAGTAGGAATTAGCAATGAATATTTTTTTACCAAATTTAACTTTTTTCACCCTGCTTGCAAAATATGTAGGAGTAGAATAAAAAGCATTACTTACTAATTTCTACACAAAATATTTGATACAATGGCATTTTCAAACCTTAGGTGAAAATATGCTGCATACAAGCTTTTAAGCATGCATTCCTGTCATGATTTTGTTACCAATGAAATGCAATACCAATCAGTACAACACAGGACTACTTCCCAAATATAATTAAATGATTATATGTTGAAATCATAGTCACAAAATATGACTATTGGGAATTAAGTTGATTTTACATAAATGTGCCTGCTAAAAAAATACATATCTCTAGGCAGCGAATTTTAAAAGTTTTTCCTTTAATATTCCTAAAGAAATGGCAGTACTTTAGACACGTATTGTCAATATACATATCAAAAGCCTGTGCTTGCTGAGTGCTTGAGAGTAATAGTTTTCAATACAGACAGATTATAATTACCAGACTGCTGATTTGCTTCATCTAGCAAAAGTCAGTGGGAAAAGACACAGTTCTGCTTCCAGGGTTTCCCTCTGGGGAGCATGGACAGTTCACTTTTGTTCAGCTTCTGGAGGCTCTGGCAGGGTTCCCCCACTGCCTTCAGATGGGGAAACACAGATACCCCTTTTCCATGGCTCCTGGACAGGCACAGCCAAGGAAATCCTGCTGTATGTGAACTGGAAAGCTCAGAATTTACACAGGTTATGGTGTCTGTGGGTGAGATTCAGACAATCATTGCCCTTAAAATTGACCAGGGAAGAGAGGTGGACAAGAGCTCCTCATGGCATCAGACAGCTCCTCATGGCATCATGCTCAACACATCCCACCTTCCCTCCGCTGTCATCCTCTAAGCTAACAAAGTCAGTGGATAAAACTTATTCAAGGCCTGTGAATTGGGGTTCCTTAAACAAGTTTTCTAAGCAATTCCAAATCATGGAAGTTTTTTTTTAAAAATAGGGTTCAATCTGGTTCAGACCAAATTCCAAAAAAAAAAAAAAAAAGGAAAGAAATCAGACAGGGGAACAAGTGAAACCACGCCAAAACCAAAATCCAAACAAAAAACCATAACACACAATCCTGCTATTTGGCCTACTTCATACTTATGCTTAAATTTAGTATCTAAGAAATTCATACTCGACCCACATTTAAACTATGCCAGTATTTTTAACAGCTCTTCTTTGCATAAGCAACAATGTTCAGTTGTTTGAAAGACACTTGGAGCTCAAGATGCATTTGCTGGGTTTTGTTCATAGTAAGTTTATTTAGCTTGGTGCACAGCACTGGGCCTCTCCCAATATAAGAGCATGAGAACAGCCAAGAACAATATTTCTGTTCTCTGTCAGCACCCTGTGAGCTCCCAAGCAGCAGCACATATCCCCTTGACAAGATTTGTCATTCTGAGCTGGAAATTTTGGAAATGACCCTCATCATGCTTTATGGCTACATTAAAACAAACATTCTGAAGACATAAACCCACAATTGTCCGTCTCTTCAAGTGAACACTCAAAGCAGAAGAATTGCATGGATGCTGGCTCAGAGTTCTGTTCCAGAATGCTGACCTTCACTTACAATGGCCAGACTAAAACCATGACATCATTATGTATGTGAAAATGCTCACTTATTTTCAAGGTTCTAAATAGCCTTATAACTATCATATTTTTGATAAGGTTTCAGAAAAATAATCAAAACCTTTCTCTCCTCTGGCACCACGGAATGCAGTTTCTCCTCCTAAAACATCAACATGCTTTTGCTTTTTCCTTTGTCAAAATGCTGGTCATAAAGAAACTCCTGAGCATTAGCTCAGAGAAACTCTCTAAAATTCATTTATTTTGTCACAAAAAAAAAAAAAAAAAAAAAAAAAAAAAAAAAAAAAAAAAGGAACAATTGTAAACCTCTCACCCTTTTCCAAAGCAATAACTGAATTAGAACTTCAGGCTTCAGGCCTTTGAAGTATTCTAATTTGCCCAGAGCATTTCTGATTCCCTGTGCCCCAGTGCAGTGACATGGATGGCACATGTGGATCTGATCATGGCAGGAATCCTGCTGCAGACTGCTTATCCTGAAGAATAAAACACTTCAACTTTCTCCATCCAGACCTCTAGAAACTTCTTCACTATTCTTGTTAGCTTCACCATCACACCTTGGCTGTTGTAAACACTTTAATTTGATGTGGTCTGACATTACTTTGTGCTTTGTTCTGCTCTGACTTGCTACAAAAGATTTAGAAGGGTGTCTGATAAAGCATTAATATATTTATCTGTTTTTATGCAAAGAGAAACAGCAAATTTCCTTTTTCATGCACTGGAATTAAAGTCAACGTGATCATAAGAATATGTAAGCATAGTAAAATCTCTGATGAATAATTCAGGCTCTCAGGAGTGAAACACTGAAGGAGACAGTTTCAGATGACTGCATTGACAGGCTCTGATGTCCAATATGTTCAGTGCAATAGAGAATGAGTTGCAAAGCCCATGAATGTAATTTTTCTAGTTCATTTACTTCTCAGTAATAATAAATTGCATCATGTTTTCATTTAAATTCCATATTGGAGAGACTGGAACACTCATGCTAGAAATGAAAAGTGCATCACAATGACGTCAATACCCAGATGCAGGAATGAGTCAGTCGTGTGCTTCTAACTGAGACAGCATTTAGAGGAGTTAAGAAAAAAAATCCCAATATGACCACAATATTTACAATAAGAAGTCACATGTGAGTTAATACCACATCTGAGTTTTCTCCTCTGCTGGCAAGTTCAGGTTGGTATTATATGGTTTCTCTAATGTCTTTAAGGTATGTGCAGGGTTCTGGCCAGGCTGCCCACCCATCTGTAAACTCCAGTAAATAACTCCTGAATTTGTTTACATGCAGCCTTTTATCTCCCCCAGGCTAAGATTACATAAAGTCAAAACAGCTCGCCTGGATCTCAAAGATTTGAAGTGTTGGCCCACTGACTGATTTTACAGAGACCAAGGTGAAAGCATTACAAACACAAACAGCAAAGCATTCATGTTAAGTTGTTTTTTTTTTTGTGCCAAACAACCATTAAAAGTTTTCCTCCCTCCCACAAGATGCTCAGTAGTCAAGCTCATGGAATCAAAGCATCATTTTAAATAATTCATAATTTATATAATCACGCAGAGGTCTACTGAGCACAATTAACCTCCACTGCTGAATCTCTCAGAAAAAAAAAAAAAAAAAAAAAAAAAAAAAAAAAAAANCACCAAAACTTTCACTATTGCACTTCTAATTAGTAAATAGCAGATTTCTCTAATTGCTAGAGAAACAAAGCTCACCTGTCACAGCAACAACCCTACAGGTTGGCAGCACAAGTGAAAGCAGGCAGCACAACAGCACTGAACAGACCTGAAAGAGCTGCTTTCAGAAAGTGGACACATCACACATCCATTTATCACCTGTGACAAAGCTGCTCCTCAGATGGGGACAGCTCACAAGCTGCTGAGAACTCAGACCTGTCAGCTCCCTCGTTTTCCTTCTTGGCCTTTCCCTGCAATAACAAAGCAGAACTATAAAACGAGGGGCGTTGACCAACTGCCTCCAGTGCTCCCCAGTGGTTGCTCAGGCAGAATAAACCTGTTCCCTCTGCAGATCCAGTCAGAGATTGCCACTGGGCTGCCCAGGACCCGAGGACCATCAGGCACTTTATTGGGATGGTGTTCCCAATATTCCCATTGCTATGGTTGCATCATAGCAAATAACCCTTTTTAAGGAGAAAATCAAGCTCCTTGCCCCCTTCTTAGCGCTGTGAACTTCTCCCAGTCAACCCAGACTCATTCTGGTAACTTCTGACACACAGGAGCATTTTTCTGCATGCAAACTCTGAGGCTGAGTTGGCTGGCAACATGAGAGCTGGTTTGCAAAGTTCCAGCTCTCCTTTGGCTCTAAGTCTAATGCAAGCAGAAAATGTGTCACAAATCCCAAAGCTGAAGCACAGACCAGTGGTTTAGAGAGTGGTGCAAGATGGAAGTCTGTACTGACTGGATTTTTAAAGGCTTTTTGCCAATCAATGCAATATTAAGAGGTAGACATTTGCAGCTGAAAGCCCTGGAAGGATCTAAAGGTCTGGCTTGGCAACTGTCCACATCAGTGCCCCATGAGAAATATTTTTAACTTAGCTTTTCATGCACAGAGCTGTCTTTCCAACACTGCAAAATTAAACTGCATCACAGCTGTAGGATAAAACTAATTAATGTTTTGACCATAAAGCCATAACTTTGACAAAGATATAAGATTTAAAATTACCTTTTGTATGATTTCAACAGAAGCTTATTATCAAAATGTCAGGTGCAATCAATAAAATTACTTTTTGGTATAACCCAGTATACATTATTTATTTGCACTGATGTTCCATAATTGTAACTAATATAAAACGCCTCCTCAAATTCACATTCTGACTAGTTCATCAGAGATAACAAATCTATACACAGCTTCCACCCTGTTAGGTATTTAGCATATTTTTAAAAGTAGTTCCATGATCCTTAAACAAGCCAGTGAATCACAGTCCTTCATATGGATTCTTACTTGTTTCCTGTGTTTAGATAGATAGGTAGATAGATAGATAGATAGATAGATAGATAGATAGATAGATAGATAGATAGATAGATATTTACATACACACAGAGAATTGACCAATGCTTTCTATCTGCCCATTAAAATGTTTTCCAAATTTAAAAACTTCACACCAGGTGAAATGCTCGAATATTTGACAAGTGCCAGAAAATAAGCCAGTTTCTACTTCCTTTCAGATGGTGTAGTTTATTTTATTGGATTACAGTTATTAGGAGCTGGGGGAGGGAAGTGGGCAGCAGCAGGGGGATGAGGTTTCGTTGCTCAGCTGACAATGTAACTTACTCATTTTGGCATGTACTTCAATGCCTATTTTTACCCATGGCTCCACTCTCTCCAAGATGTGCTTGCACCCACACACCACTTGTGCACTGTACAAGTCACACTCCTTATGTAACGGTTTTGGATTGGGTGCCCAGGCTGGTGCCAGAGCATGTGGAAGGGGGAACAGGCTGGCAGAAAGGAGCCAGCTGGAGGCTGGGACATGGGGCAGGAGGAGCAGGTTGAGAGGCTCCCAGCTGGTGGGCTGCTTGTGGTTTTGGAGATCCTCAACAAAAGCAAGGATGAAAAGAATAAGCATGCCCAACACAACCTTGAGAGCACAGATCAAAACCAGCCAGTCTGGTAGGCAAGGATTTACAGCATGAAAATCTCTTTCACTTCATTTGAAATGGCCAGTGGAAATTTTCAAATTTTTTTTCTCCTTTTTTTTAATCCCTCTGTGACAACACCATACCATGGTGTAAGTAATATATTGCTATTCTTCTATACTTTGGAACCACTGACTTTTGCTCCCTACACATAAGTTTAAAATTAAAGGGAATCTCTTCTTTTCCCTATCATTTAAAAGCTATAATTACAAAGCAGATATTTCAAACTTCAGTCAGTCACATGTCTTGCTCCCTCATATTATCTAAAAAAAGATCAGTTTAGAAGAGAAATGGAAACTGAAGTCAAGCCAGTCAATGAAGGATTTTGGCAAAACTATATGCTGCTATTTGCTCATGTGAAAATCCTAACAGGAAGTTAAAACTAGCTTAACAAACCATTTTGCATTGTGAAACTATGTTCTTGAGTATATGTATATATTTCATATAACCACTTAAAATTTATTTTTCCTTTCTTGTACATTGATTAACAAACACAATTACATCTCTTTTTAGAAATTTTCATCAATTACAGTCTAGAGATATTAAACAGTTCATACAAGAATTACAAAATATTAAAATTACCTGTATTTGTCCTGATGCATTACTGATATAAGAAATGGGAAGGGGGTGGGAGGGAAACCTGTATACCAGTATAGAAAAATACAGAAATATGTTAACCACCAGACTTACATATCTTATAAAAGTACAGAGAGCAGTAGAACTGAAAAAACTCAGGACCTCAAAGGCTGTAAGCTGACTCTTAACCCTGTTCCCTTGCCCTGCTGTCTGCTCAGCAGCTCAACATCAACTTCTTTGCTCAAGTCCATTACACGACTTCTAAAGGATTTGTACAGAGACAATGAGATGTGTTGTCCACAATTACTTTGCAAATTACTGCCAAATAGATTTAGCACTGAATGCATTTCAGAGGAAGGTCAGTTAAAATAAAAATCACCTCCCTGGTGCATGCTAAAATATTATGATTAAATTATATAATAATTGAGATAACAAGTACAACAAACAAGCTTTCAAGACTCTCCAGAAGGAAACCAGGAGGCTTTGCTGTGCTGTCTAGGGAGACAAATACATAAAATAGCTAATAATAGTAAAGCAGAGTCATTGACTTATTCAAACGATATAGTGGTTTTCCTTCCTACAGAGATTAAAATTATACAACAAAAATAAGATACTGACAGACTAATTCCATCATCATCATCATTATTATTAGCCTGTACAATTTATGCAAATGTTAACAAGGGTTGTCAAGACAGTTCAATTATAAAGCATATGCAGCAGACAGATTGGTTCAGTTTACCATCTTAATTTACATTTTAGCTAAACAGAACAGTTTAAATATTAATTAAAATATACAAATGGATTTTCATAAACTGGCCTTTCCCCCCTATAGATCTACAGAGTTATTTCAGCAGATTTCTTTCTAAAAAGACATGAGATGGGTGATAGGAAAGTGAATGAGCCTGGCAAAGTAAATCTTCCTCTTCATGCTCTGCTTTTCCCTGGGCCATGGACAGACTATGAACATGGCAGGACTCTAGAAACAAACCACAGCCCAGTGGGAGCCTGTAGACTACAAAAATATATAATTTTTGTAGTTCTTTACTTAATCTCAACAACTATAAATTGAAACAATGTCTGGGTTTATGAAGCCCTGTGGTGCAGTACCAATATCCTCCAGGTCTTTTTTCTATTTCTGAAGAAATCACGATATCTTCTATAGAGTCTGGACACAATTTTCTCAATGTAAGCTCTAATTAGACACCAATATTGTTGTTTCCAGAAAAGACACCTGTTGTTGACAAAGCAACACTGTGGATCTGGAACAATTTAATATATTATTTAAATAGAATTTTAGTTCTAGATAAGTTTATATTTATCTACTTAAGTCCTTAAGATACAAACTTAAGTCCAGTACTATGGATGTAGAAAATCTGTCTGCCTCGGGCAAACAGAAATGCTGAAATGTTTTGTCATTTGTCCTAGATTGCAAGGCGTGTTCTATTCGCCATCTGTTAGAGGTGTGGCAGTTGTCTTCTGTTAAGTGGGCAGTTTTCCTTATCTCTTCCACAAACCAATCCTCTCTCACGGGAGACATCTGCTGATAATGGGCCACTGAATGTCACTGCATGACTGATAAGAACTAGAACATCCCACTGTGAGATGCTCCGCCCAGAGGGAGGAGCCATGCATTCCTACCTGGATATAATCTGAGTTTTTGGGAAAGCAGATGGAGCTTTTCCACTAGATTCCCAGAGGAACAACTGGATCTTTAGACTAGACCTTCAGAGGAAGACTACACCCTTATACCGGACCACTGCTCCAACAGAACCACATCTGCCACTCCAGGAGGACTGCAGCCACTCCAATTTGGACTGCTACCAACACACTGGCCAAAGGGGTGTCAGGTAGTGTTCGGACTCTGTCAGTGGTTTTTCTTTTGTATTATTGCATGGATTTTGGGGGTTTCTCCCCTTTCCCTAATAAATTGTATTTCTGACTTGGAGTCTCTCACTGGTTTTGCTTTCAAACCAGAACATTATTTCATTAGAACTCCCTTGGAAGAAGATTCATTTTCCCTGCATACATAAAGCATACTGTAAGACTGGAAGGTAGGCTGTGAAAAGAACAAAATATTACCTCAAAATTAAATCAATTACTTCAGCATTGTTGATTATGATGGCATGGAAAGACAACATTCATTCAGCCAGAAGAAAAGATTTATTGGAAGGGAAGTAACCAACTAACTGTGGCAACACTCAAAATGGAAACACACCAAAAAAATGCAATGTATTTTCGTGGTGCCTTAGGAAATCAAGAGATATCTGCTCGAGTTGTGCTTCGGGACCTGTGACATCTATTGGCACATTCCCCAAGGAATCCTCTGCAGCAGCACAATGTTACAGTCATGTGCAATTGCTGCACTGAAGTTTCTTTTTTCCATAATGTGACTACAGCTGTTTTCCTACCATTCATTGCAAGGCTTCATAGTGTGAATGACATCACAGTACTAAATCTTTCTTCTTACTCTAACTGCACAAAGGAATAAAATTAGGATTATGCATGGTGGCACATACACACTCTCCATCTACAGGTAATAAAAGCAACAAATCCAGTAAATTGACATCATTGTTTTGCCATGCAAAAATGAAACACATCATCACCTCCCTAAAAAACAAACCTATTAAGTCTTGAAAGTCAGTGCTGTATTTATATAAAAAGTGATCTAAGTATTAATCTTCACAGACAGCATGAA